ATTTTAATAGGATATTATCTGAACATTGACCACTAAAATTGTTTTAACAAGTATAACAAGTATCTACACAGTATTACTGTTTTAAACATAATACATAAAACGTTTTAGAAAAATAAATACACAATTAACTAATTCACGATTCAGTGAGCACATATTGCGGACAACAAAAAAGTGCTGGCTGTGTTATTGCACAAAATATATGATGTTCCTATTTTTTTAAAACTTTGTTTAACCACAATTTGTCAGAACAAAATATACTTTAATGAAATATTAATGCAATACAGTTATATTGTTATAAATAAAATACATATTATAATACAAAAAGAAAACAATATCTTTAAACCAAGCTCCATTAAACATTTTAAAACTATAATAGGATTATTAACAGCAATAATTTATACAGATTACAGGTATATACTAAAAAAAGTTTTAATCGTTTTAAAGTGGAGAAATTATTCATAAGTTTATTCTCATAATAAATTGCTTCAAATAATATATATATATAATTTATCCATTCATTTTCAAGTGTAAGTGCTTAACTAATTATGAAACATTCTAATTAAACTCAATAAAAATGTGTTAAATAATTTATTTCATTGACCCAACAATATCATTAAGTATTTTTATAGCTATATTGTAATATACATGATACTCAATGATGATATCAATACATTACTACAACGTTTGTTTTATGAAGCCGGCAAATAAAAAAAAATAGGAAAAAATGATTATTGTGTAGGTATGTATATTTTAAAATAGAAATATCTAATGAAATATTTAATGTATTCACCATATGCATTAGACATACATCCATATTTATTAAATTAAAAAATAATCATTTTTCGTTGATTAATTAATTTAAAATAAACATTTCAAAGCAATTAATTCTAACCATTGAACTATTAATATTACTCTTAATATCTTCGTTCACGGATGTTGTTAGAGTAAATTCTCAAATGATCCTGAAATTATTAAAAACAATGTCGAATTAATCTTTTAAACTTTTATTTAAAATTAAATCTATGAAGTAAAATGTAAAATTTGCATAATTGTTTGTACGTCACACAGGTATAAAAATATTCAATAAAATAATTATTTAGGTGAATATGGTTTGTCGTGTACTCGTCAAAAATAACTTAACGAAATGCAATACAACATTTTCAAACGTAACATTCAATAAAGGTGCTTATAATGATACGTCAATTTCTGTAACGGTATTTTTTTTTTTAATATTTGTGTGTGATTTATACGAGTTTCCTATTTTGTAGGAACTTACTTAAATGTCAAGAAACTATATAATGTGCGGAAGACGGTTAAAATAAATGCCTGGTACATTCTTCAAGTTGTCTTTCACAATCTTAGAACATTTGAATACTTTATTGTAGTGTGAATAATTTTCATACCATGTACATTGTACACGAACTAGTTTTGGTAGGTACATCAAAACAAAACAAACATTTTAAGGGGTTATTTGATATTCCAAGTTCCATCAGAATTCCTACAATTCCTACAACGGCACTACCCAAAAACTATGTAGACGGAGGTACACCGGTACGCAATACCTTCTATGTTTCGTCTTATGTTCATCATTGTTACGTGGTTTTACATCAACGTGTATAGTATGTATGTATAGGTACGTACCTAAAACAACGTTTTTTAAAAGTTTTTTCATCGTTTGACCATTTTATCATTACTGCACGTTATTGAATATAATAACGATTGCAGAAAGTCTTTATTATTTATCGAACATTGTTTTAATGTTGACAGCTTATACTTGTGTCAAATACAAGTTAAAAGCATTTTTTACTTTTGTCTCTGTCAGATAAATTAATATACTCTAGATTTTATCAATATCAACTTATTCTCTCTGCTCTAAGTTTAACTATAGAAACTAAACGCATTATCGATGATTCGACGTTTCTCTTTGCTTTGTATCGTTAATAATATAAACTTTCAATTATTTTCACTAGTTATATACCTAGACAGGAAGTAAGGTGGTACGATTAATCACCGTGTTTACTGTCAAAGTCGGTTTAAGAGGTGGTTTGATTACCTATACCAATCAGTTCTCAGACTGTTTTCAAAATACCTAGTCAAAGAAATGAAAAATCAAATATAACTATTAACCTGGTCAGTGGCATTAAATCAATAAATTAAGAATTCTGAGTAAATATTACTTTATTTAAAAAAAAAAATAGTTTCAACAGAATCTACTCAGACGAATGTGCTAGTCTTACAATGATGTATTAATGTATGATGTGTAATTTTATTTATTTTTGTGCTGCAATTAGGTTTTTTGTGTAGATAAATGGTTACTTTTTCAACTTTATTGACCGTTTTGATTACATATTAGAACTTTTGATCTAGTTGGTTGGTACTTTAGGAGTTTAAAAGAAGAAATAGTTCCCAGTACTTTTTTTTAAATAATTGGGAAAAACTAACGAAAAACAGGGGGGAAAAGGATTATTTACGCAACACCAGTTTTTAATAAAATTTGTTATAATCAAAAATGCGTAAAAATGTTCAGTTGCCAAGAAATTCACTAAGAATTCATATTAGTTTTTTTTTCTTGCTAGTTGCTACGTATGAACAATTTTCAAAATATTCTGCCATATTTTAAGATATTTATATTTTTTTTTTTTTTAATTAATTTTTTTTTTTTTATTTTAAAAACTTGGAAATTTAATACATGATTTTTCTTGAAATCTTTATATATAAATTGAAAATATCAAAAACATATCAATCCCAATTTTGTTTAAAAATAATTTAAATCATAATTTCAACAAAAATTTGTTAAAATCACAAATATTTATAATAATTTTTGTAGTAACATTTTTAATTTATATCTAGGGCTTAAAAACCGTGTACTAGCCACTAGGTACCTCTTAAGTTTTTCATCCAGTGATTCGAAAATATCGAAAAATAAACTGCATTTTTTTTTATGAGGTTATTAAGTTTAAATTTGATCAAAATTGGATTTTCAATCATAAAACAATAATTTTCTTCGAACGATTTTAGTTATTCTGTTTAATTCAAAAAAAATTAATTGTTAACTGTAGAGTATTGAAGTATTTAATTATTACCTAAGTTATCTATACATAATAACATTCTGAAAGTATTTGGAATATGTGTATGTTATAACTTATTTGTAAACACATGAGCATTTTGACTTTTTTTGAATGATGGTAAACCTTTTTCTCTTGATCCAAAACTTGACAATATTATAAAAGGGATCTTATAACTTATTCCTGTAGCATTCTAATACAATTAAAAATATTAAGACATATTTTTCATATAAACTTGTTAAGTCTAAATGTACACAATTTAATTTATGATTTGTTATATGTAAATAATATATCAGTAGCATGTGCGATTTTTTTTTGTCAAACCTATAACGAATTAAGAAGTTACTAATGATAATATGATTAAAATTGTATTAATTATGTTACATTATATTATTATAATGTGTTAACTAACCTCAAAAATGAAGTCTGTTCTTCAGATACATCTTCACTTTCTATAATAGTCGTTTTAAATTTAAATTCAATGATAAATTATTATTTACTGTAGGTGTATAATGTATATAGAGGTGGTATTATTCAAATGTTGTAATTTCTTAATTTGGTTAAGATTGAAAACATGTTCGCCAAAAAAAATTGCATTTAAGTCAGTAATATCTATTTATTGTCTGTTGTAGAATATGATGGTTAATTAATTCCTCTTAATTAGTCTAAGTATTTAGAAAATGTAATAATGTATAGAAAATTAAAGTTTAAGCAATTATGGAAACTGGAAAGTTTCATCCTAACTTAACCTCTTAGACCCTAGTTATAATCGGACTAACTCATGAGACATTACCTCGCATAATGTATATACTCGTATATTGCTATGTAAGCATAACATTTTATATTAATAAATCATGGTTGATTTCTGGATCCAAAGAATCCTTTCCAAACAGTAAAGTAAATCGTAAACATTTTAAATAAATTTAATTTTTATAAAATTTATTAGTAACAAAATATTTGTGAACGCTTAAAAATTTACTCATCATTTCGAATTAGATATCTAATTCGAAATCGTCAAAACCCTATAGGTGGTTATAATAATAATATGATATTGATACGTTAGTAAATCTTTCATTAGTTATTTATTACTATATTCATACATAATTTTTTTGCGTTACGATTAATAGTTTTGTTTAAATAAGGGTCATTGTCCATTAGTTGATGAATAATAGAGAGATATATTATCAGAATCTGTCTTTATAGGACGTACATTTTGTAATTTGTAATGACTAATGTTCATGAGTTATAACGATTAGATATACAAATATGAAAATAATAATACACCATTTTTCGATAATAATGTCTAAACTAAGGTTGAGGGAGTTAACACAAAGGTCGGGCGGGTTTATAATATATACACAATACACATTAATACAAATCATGTAATAGCCAACGAAATACGAACCATTCACTCTACAGTCGTGTCGTGGTCGATGGTCGTCTTCTCGACTAGTTCGCGTTTTTTGAAAACCTAATTAATACTATTGTTGTCTGTTTTAAGTATATACACCGTTGTGTTAATTAACCCGTGCGCGGTTTTATCTTCTAATCATGAGACCGTCGGTCATCGTAGCGGGCTACCTGTCCTCCGACGGTGTAACGATCATGTTACTAGTGTTGGAAATTAAATAGGTAATGTCGCCCGGGGTTTCGTGAAAAACTGGGCGTCCGAGACAACAATTATTCACAAAAAACAAAAATTTAAAATAACACGCACTAACGAACCCTTTAACGCAATAATTACAATACATCGCAGAGTCCGTGGAGAAAAGACAACGACGGTCGACGGAAACTCTCGAAATTGTAATTCACTATTACCTATCTATGCAGCTCGCGAGCCACTAAATGGACATTGCAGTACCTCCATACATTAAAATACAAATAAAACTACGTGAGTCGCTCTAAGATGAATGTTTTGCTTTGTTTGTTTTGCAGAAACTATCGTCAGCGCTACAGCCGAAATTCGTAATCACAAAATGAGGATTTTGACGATCGCCTGGATTTTGGTCGCGGTCACGTGGTGCTGCGACAGCGCCGTTATCTACGAACCGCTGGTTCAAAACACCCGTTACTATGAGCCCAGAATTCAGGACTTGGAGCTTCTCGACGTAAGTTTCGTATTTTTTAACTTGTAGTTGTTTTATATATTATTTCCGCCAAACTGCCGACATCAGTAGAAATCGTTTAAAATACGCGTATTGAATAATAATATATACATATATAAATATATATACCTATACGTAATAATGTATAGGAATCCGTAAAGTTCAGAATAATACATATATAATATTATGATCTTAAGCGAGTTTGTTTTCGATCGAGGTAAGGCTCAATTCTTTTAATACGAGTATAATCTTTGTAAGTCCGTCATTGAGTTTCAGATGATTTATTTTGGTTGTGTTATTCATTCGAAACCATTTAGGTTTGGATCAACTACCCCTACAGTTTTTTTTCTTAGAAAAATCTATAGATCTATTAGTTTTGTTTTGTTTTATCTATTGCGTAGTGAGTACAACTAACGGAATCTATTGTGAAGTACATTCTACGATAATCCAATGAGAAAAGTTATCCGACTTAAAAACAACACTTTGAAATGGGTACACTCACCTTGTTCACTAAGTCTTATGTGGTTTCAATATATAAGTTTCCTAAGCCTGGTCATATTAGAAGTATGAAAAAAATGACGAGTTAAACTTACTTCAATATATCCTCAAAGAAACAAAGTTTTACTCTAAGTGCCAATGAAAGGTTCATCGAAGAAACACTCGAGTAGTCAAGTTAATTTGAAATTGCACTTCAAAGTTAGTTCTGATTTTCAAATTTAATTTAATTGTTATAAATATTGGCACTCCATATGTCATTGGAATTTATAAATGTGAACATATTTCTATAACAATGGAAACGTATCTTGAATTGTGGACTCAGTTCACTGGAGTATAAAAAAAACTTCAAATCATTATTAATTAAAAATACATATTCACATAGTTCAATAGGCACCTACCTATTTATGGGTGGTATATACCTATCTAGTATTTAATTATCAACCGAGCCCATATTTAATCACTGAACATAAAATAATTATCATGTCTAAGATAACAAATGTCATATTTAAATTGTTTTATACTGAAAAAATTAAACTTTATCTATAGATGCATACTATTATCTACTATTATAAATTATAATAATCCCGAATTATAATTCACATTCTTAAACTTTCTCAAATATTTCTTATCCTTATCTGGTTCATTGCAATTTAATAAATAATTTATTTGTGTAGACAGCTTTACACACATGGTAAATTAACGTGTAACATGTAGGTAAATTAAATTAATGTTCATAAAACAACTTTTATGCTGGGGTCCATCCAATTATATAGGTAACTCTTAAAAACAAATTCATTTTACGACAATACTAAAGAAGCAAAATAAATTAAATGAGTTAAAATACAATTTATTAAACACCAGTATAAGATGTGGGTGCGTGTATAATATATTAAATTCAAAATTGTAATATGTTTTTTTAATTATGCATAGAGTTAATATTATGTAGGGATAACTCCAAATTAGTATTTACGCTTTCTTCATATTAAAAATAAATATAGTTGTTGTTTGAACTTTAAATTACATATGAAAACTTTACTACTTAAGAATATTATATGGTTCTCTGACGTTCGTAAGTTATACCTATGTACTTTTTCTACAATGTACCATAGTAAGGTATTATACTAATGAGACTATTATTTTCATTTTGAATAAATAACAATATTTGATTTGGATTTGGATTATAAAATGCATTTTTCAGTAATTTGATGAAAATAAAAAAAATCTCAGATTGGTATGTTGTAGGTACATTCAAAATAAAACCCATTGTCAATGTAAACTGTAAAGCCAGATGCCCAGATAACTACAAATCGACTTATATATATTTATGTACTGTGCTTTTTTAATTAAAACTATCCAGCGCTCTTTATTCATCTAATTATATTGGTTTCTACTGTCACTTAAATTAATTAACGTTGACACGGTCGAACAGTTAAATTCAATAACTTTCATTTAAACAGTCTGTGATAACATAATATAGTTGAGTCAAGCGTAGAGATGTATTCCTGACGTTGATCGCATATTGCGAATCGTCGTAATACTGCTTCTAAATCGTAACTTCATGCACATTAATTGTATACTTCGTGATAAACAATAATATCCCGATTTGCTCTTCGTATATGAGTTTATAATATTTTGATAAATTAATGTAAAAAAAAAAATGTATACTAATAAATAGTTTTATTATATTAATGTTTTTGTGAAAATGCGGAATACTTGATCTGTATAAACATAAATTGTGTCTTGTGAGAAAATCAGGTTTAAACCTTTGCGAGGTTTGAGTCCTTACTATTCAGCGAGGCCTCACTTTAAAAAATAAAGTTAAAAAGATTAGTTTAATATTATTATATTATGAGTACTAAAAATGCAATGTATTATATATATAACATTTTTTTTCTCACTTTTTCATTTGAAAATGTTCTAATCATTTCATTTTCGATGATTATCTGCAAAACACATTTTTTAAATAACTGCAGTTTCATTAATGTACGTAAATTGTCTTGTGTGCCTATACTGTTTACATAGACAAACGACGAGTGACGTTCTTCTGTGATGATAACCGGTATAGACAATCCGTTATAAACGTTCATACAAATAGATTTTTATTGATCTATACATTATACCTACCGATAATAGGTAATAGTCCTTTGTTTAAAATATTTATAGAAGCGGAAAGAATAATAATTACTGAGAATCGTTTCATTAGACTTTGAATTTAATATGCATAAATCAATACTTCAAATTCTTTCGCTGCTATAAAAAAAAGCCATGGTAAAATCCGAGGCACTAAAAAATATCAAGTTTTGAAGTTTTGGGGGTTACGGCCTCACTTAACCCGGGCTAGCTTCCTGGGAATTTTTATAAAATAAAACCTGTGGATAAACAGTGGTAAAATTCTAAAATGTTTTAAGACCTTCTCAAAACGCATAGTTATCACAATATCGCCATTGTTGTTTCGTATGTTAAATCGTTTACCTAACCCGACCCAAATATGTATACATTATATCATAATGTGGGTACCTGTCACACCATAATACAATATAATAATAATAATAATAATAATAATAATAATATATTAATTGCAATATAAAGTCGTCGGGTTGGGTTAAGTCGTAGAACTTCTATGATTAGACCATTTGTAAATGCTCATTTTTTCAGCGTACCTACAATTATTATCTCTCCGTATACGATTATTACGTGTACTAAAGTCACTACATACATATTAGACACACACACACGCACACACACACTATCTAATAACGATCTGACAGGAGTAATAAACGGTAAGTATACGTACCTCACACCCATTATAATATACAACACTGCAGCGACCGAGTTGGGCTCTCGGGATATAAACAGTGACTTTTGCAGGAACTGCGACCTCAGGATTAAGACGAATGTCCTCAGTAGTTTACGCGGGCAATTCGAGCGAGACCACTGTAAAACTGGTGTGCCCGGGCGTCTTAAATATATGAGAGAGTAACGCGAGAACTATAATAATTGCTTTCGGAGAAGAATGGTTTTGGAAACTTCTTTGCGGTCGTGTAAAGTATATGGTAGACGTAGTGCAGTTATATAGCACAGTTGTAGTATACTGACAATTATATATATAAACATGTATGTATATCCGTATACCGTAGTACCTATATATTTTTATTTAAGTATTGTATATAATATAGTCCCGGGACAAAAAAAATATAAAAACAGAAAATCGACAAAACACTATAATAATACGACGTCATATGTATATAAACAATATATATATATAGATAAACCTTTTGTACTAAACGTGTCGAACAATGGCAATACAAACACCCGGTGACAATATCTCTTTGACTTGGGTATTCGCGATGTACGTTGCTGCTATATAGTATACAACCACCGGACGACAAATCGTCGGCTCATAGGAATTCGATAGGTAGGTGTATGTACACTGTTTGTTTTTATTGTTTAGTACAATATTTCCATTCGAAATTCTCGGTTTACTATGACGTACACAATGCACCCCTTTTTATTTCGAATATATATTCACTGTGGAGATAAAATATTGTATACGCTACACCATCATAACTATACATAGCGAGGTATTTAATATTAACATTAATATATATATATATATATATATATAATTCAAAATGAAACTATAATTTTATTTTACTGATTTACAAGCGAGCAGGACTAGATAGTGTAATATTTTATGCTGTGCTCGGGCCAAACTAAACTAAAAATATTAATTTTAAAGCACTTTATAACTCAGGGGGGTTAAAATGCATTTGGCCCGTGTTCAATGACGTGTTTAAACAAGTACAGTGTATAGTACCTACATAATATATATACGGATACACGTACCTCCTGCACATTGAGCTGAATATTAATCTTTAAATTATCGTCCGTTGTAACTTAAGTCCTCGATTTTTCAATACGTACATTATCATAGTATTTGAAGTTTAAAGTGTTGCATGTGAAAAAAACTGTGAAATATTGGATTTTTTCATCACACTGGCAAATAGGTTCTCATTTACTTACATATCTAATTTTTTCCAATATACTTTATTATTTATTCATTTGTTAACTATATTAACTGTTTAAAAGATATAAGATAATAGTTAGAATGCATTGTAATAACATAGAACACAGTGGACAGCTGGAAGTTATTTGATACTATTTAATGTGTTTTATAATAGGCCTTACTCTGATTATTTTATTTATTATAAGGTAATAATTAAAATATATTGATGAAACAAATAAACACTACATTTTTGAATGTACAGCTAACGTGCTCCTATTAAATTTTCTCGCTTAATGATATCATATTATATATCATTTATATGTATATATTTTAATCTCTGCGTGTGTATAAGAGATCCACCAGCTAAATCTATCGCACTAATGGTTTTGAAATTCGGTACGTGTCACATGTGTAACCCTATATGGCTGTACTCGAGAATGTGCATCTCTATGCGTAATTATGAAATTGTACATTTGTACATTTCAAAAGGAGTTCTCACAGGGCCGATTTGTTGCTTTATATTTTGTTGGCTCACGAGAAAAAGGATTATTATTTTTTTGTTTGTTTAAGGCTGCCATTGATTAAAGCCGTGCAGAATCAGCTAGTATCTTATATTTTATAATTAATGACGCTACAAATATCTGAAGTTCTACCCATAAGTCAAAATTATAAATACATTGTTAATGGATAAATAATACATTCGGTCATATACTGAATATGGCTATTATACATTTTGCATTCCAATCAAATTATTTAATGTAGGTATTGGCCTTTTACTATTGATCCTACATGATTTAGCCATCTTACTTACACAGCTATACATTACCGATAATAATATTGTATTGATATACGGTATTACATAAAAAGAAGTAGTGTTTATGTATAATTAGTTACCTATGTAATAATTTTTACTGTCTATTTAATTAAAATTTAAAAAAAATTATTCATAAAATCTTTATATGAACGCCCAAAGGATTTTATAAAAATTAAGGAAATCGTCATTCAGTGGTCAGCAGAAGAATTCGTACAATACTATCGATCAGCATTTTTTCCAAAATTGATATTACTTTAATATTTTCGATTTCACTTTCAATTCAGAGGGTTTTATACCAGGAAATGAGTTATTTATTTTAGACATTGTCCGGCTGGATATAACTTAATCTTACGATGTGGTTTTGATAAAAACAATAAACGTAGTAAGGATTTACCTTAACCCAAACGAATAAAAAAAGGTTCCAATCGACGCACATCTTTGTTTATTTTATTTTGCCTATATTTCGTGCGGTCACATTCAGGATAATATAAATTACAATATGTACAATATAGGAGTTTCGTACTCCAGTAAATTATATAAAACGTTTTGATGGACAAAATCGTTAAATATAATAATATATTTTGCAGTGGATTATCTATTCGAACTATTCGAAATTTAACAATAAAATACGTTAATTTTTTTGTTTTTTTTTTTGATAGAAAAACTTTTTTGACATGGCTTCGATCGAAAAGAGGAACGGCGCAATGCAAGGTGAGTCACCGAGAAGTCGTCCTAGTTTGTCCATCGTCAACTCGCTAGACGTGCTCAGACAAAAATTAATGTATGAGGTGGCGCGGTGACACGTAGATGAGAACCAGAAAGTGCTGTCGCAAAACCACCAGATACTGAAGAATCTAGGAAAGCGGTCACTGTTTCCTTTTATTGAAGTACCACGGAGGTACAATGTATTTCGTATATAATGATACATTGATATATCGAGTTATGATTTAACATTTTTTTGAAACAAACTTATTGAAGTATGCTACTAAGTTTTTCTTTGTATTATTTAACTCATTTAAATCAATTTTCAAATATGACTGTGGCTAATAGAATTTAAAAAATATCTGTATGAACGTGAATTTCTAAATTCAAGAGTCTAAATATGGGATAACCTTATTAATTTTCTCTGCCCTTTTTGGTTTTATTTATAAACAAAAACAATGTGCAATTTATTTCATATGGATTTAGGAATTCTCGTGCTTAATAATTACATTTTTTTTACAGGTTTTAAATGGAAACCATTTGGATTTCGACGGTTTAACAGCGTTATTATTTATGGATATTTTATTTAAAATGCAATATATAATTAATTTTATTTGTTGACTTTACCTAATATTGTAGACAGCCAAATCATTGTTATTTTGTTTTCAATTTATATATTATATGTATTTCCAGTATATAAAAAAAATATAACCTAGTATAAATATATTATGTCGTATATTATATTAGACATTAAAAAACTCAATCCACAGACATTATTCACCATAATATTATTATACAACATACTTGTTCCCAAAAAAACAACTTTCAGTATTCTATATTTAATTTAGTTTCTTTGTATTTTTTTTTTTTTTTTGATTATTTACCAAATTAATTAGAGCATCGTAAAGTGATTTAATACCTGTTATTTTTTAATAAAAATATATTATTATACTACAGGATGCATCGCCTTAATTTTTTTCTTTTTCAATTGAATACACACAATATTTTATTAATAATTAGTATATTATATTATAGGTATACAATATTTATACATACATATGTATTTTACATATACTATGATCTATTTGCTGTATTATTGGTATTTTAGTAACAACGAACAACAACCAATTTTTAATAATTGTAGTTGGACAATGAACAACTGTAGGTATACTGCCACTATGTAATAATGTAACTATATTATGCTTTATCAATTCACCGCATTCGTAACGCCCGTCCATTGCACAGAAGCTCCTTCCCACCTGGCGAAGAGAAACAATACAAAATAATATCATACATTGTAATAAAATTACAAATCACTATTGGCAGTGGTAGTTTTACGGTAGGAGAGAGGATAATGGGTGGTCAGCCACTACAATTGACTTGTGTAAATGTGTTAATAAGTAATAACTCTATATATAGCGCCATGTTCATCAAATTACAAAACATTTATCATAAATAAAAAATGCTTCATGCTATATAATAGGTATAATTCAATAATTGCATAAAATGTATTGCGCATGAAATTACTTCTCATAGCTGCTATGAACGGAAAATATGTGTTAATTATATTATAATTATACCCATGCAATATGCATGTGCAAAATATTTTCAACCTCTCTCTCCCCCATCCCACCTTTGATGTTGTCAAGAACCACCTCCGTCATCAGAACGTGTCGGTAGGCATAACTGTATCAGTAGGTAATGGTTTAATCGTTTAATGTGCTATGACTAAGGAAAATAAAATATTCACTTCGTGTGTATAAGACACTCGACCAAAAGTAGAAGCGAAGTGGTATTGTTAATGTCGTCCGTGGCCTTCATCATCCGTGTCTGTTCGCCCTGGTGCGATCGCGTGTCCACCATCGCGTGGTTCTCGCTACCGCTACACGAATAGTGAGTCAATGGAAATCTGCAAAAATTATATTTAACAATAATAATGCATGATAATTCCGAAAAAATCAATTCCGTCCAAAACCAGTGGAAATCATTTGTTCAATAACGTCTGATCTATAGGTACGTGCACTGTACTGGCTGTACTATACAAAATAAGCAGACGAACACTTTCAAGTGATTAACAGTCAAGGTAATGATATTCGAAAAAGCCATAAATGCATGTATACTCCACTGCATGTATATCGACTACCGGGTACCTATATTTATTTCTTCCTCGTTCCGAATAAACGCAGTACAACTCCATAGATTTATTGTTGTGTGTTGTATTACATATTTACATAACACGTGTAATATAACGATTTCCAGTTTCCAGTTTCATTTTTACTCTCGGATATTATTTTGACAATAATAATATTAATAATAATAATAATAGTAATAATGGTGCAATAAAATTGTATTAATAACTTCAGTTAGTGGGCGTAATTGTAATAGGTTTTGTCCCTGGGCGAAAACTCTCGAGCTCAGTTTTCTAGAACTTAAAACTTTTAATGTAAATTATATAAAATATAATAAAACTATTGATCTGGCGAAGAGTTCGTCGAGATAAAAAAATTTACAATTTACGTCACACATAACATACACAATATTATGTATTATAATATATTACATAGAAACGTATTATTCCAATACTATTTGTCAATTTACTTAACATCTCATCGGTTAGATAAATGTTCAACTATATTTTGATATTAAGTAAAAAATGGCTGGTTAGTACTTGACGATATTTTATCATTATTTCATTATAAATTATAATCAGTAGCCAGTAGGTAAATAATATGGATACCTACTACTTACTGCCTACTATAATCATGTGACATAATATAGCATGGCATGTTCATCAACGTGTTAATGCTTTTTACAATTTTATACTCATGTAATATTAGTTGTACAAAACAACATTTTTGAAAACTATTATATTTTTTACAATTTTTTTATCGTAATAAATTTTAAATTGTTTTTTTCTTTTTTAAATAAGTATGTATTTTTAATTTCATATTCCGAAGCAGGATATTTTTCTGAGAATTAACATACAAATCGAATTTCATACGAGCGAAGCTAATTATAGTCTGGCTCGAGAAAAATGAGTGCTCAAAGCAGTTTGGCGGTGCCCAAATATTGTCAGAACTAGGTGTTCTCCGTATCGAACGTATTATTGTTGTTAGCTGCAGCTGCTGTTGAGTAGACACTATACATAATTTTTAAAAAAACATGCCAATTATTTTGATAACCTCTAATGGAAATTTGCACTTGACGTCAGCGCTCACTTTTCGTGAGCAGGACTGTAGTTAACTATCTCCATACTCATCTATACAACTGTTCTAAAGTACTATTAAATAATAATATACGAACTATATTATGTTATACATTAGTTATTTTTTAATTTTTACCTACTACTAACTAACGTATAAAGAAACAGCCAATTTATTTTGTATCTATGTACTCACTCGTCAATCAACTTAAAAACGGATTTTTTTTTTGTTTTCATAATTATTTAATGCATTTTAAGGATAAAATCATAGGATATAATACGAACAATAGAACTCGTACAATTATAAGTAGTAAAATATAAATTTACTTGTGTAGCTATCTGTTCAGTATTTACGCGATGAAATAGCCAATTCAGGCAATTGCGTTAACTGTATGTTATTACGTTGCATGATCCTGAATATCGGGGGCTCAATATTTGCAAGTTTTACTGAAAATGACAATTCCTGAAATATAATGTACTACAGTGAAGTACAATGTGTCGGGCGGAGAAAATTAAGTCACAGTATGCATAATAATAATAATACTGTAAAGTCTTATTATAATGTAATATTTTATTATGTTAGTCTAAACCAATTAGAACGATAAAATAAAATAACTGGAAAAAAATTCCGATATTCATGACTTTTTTGGCAACTGAAAAAATAATACTGCACAAAAGTGGCCGAATAAAGTTATAATGAATGGAGTAGTAGAACAACATTTTGTGGTATACCCCTGTACCATGTGCATCTATTTCTCCTATCAAAACTTTAAATACGTAAATACGTATACGTAATTAATTAAATACTCATTCAACATTCTGTTTCTATGAGTTAAAGTTTTCTCAAAAATATTCCGATTTAGAATATTATTAAATTAAAAATGTTCCTCGGCCATTCACAAAAATAATCACTTGATCAAGTATGAAGATAAAAAACGTTATTTTATAATAACTTACAACTGTACAAAAATTCAAAACTCAAGACTTTTTAAGATAGTTTATGTGTACTGTCATAAGAACTACTTTGTATACTACTGAGTGTTAGTTAATTATTACAAAACATTCACTGGAGTATTGGAGTCTACGTATATAGGCGCCACTAGACCTTCGTAGCAAAGGAAGCCTTTATTAAATCCTGTATTCATGCATTTTCATATTTTCCGAGTTTATCTTATTTCTGAAAACAACTAAATAAAACTGTTGATGAGATTACCAACATTAGTAGTACACTTTTTCCTATTTGTATGTTTTGGAGTTATAGAGTCATAATTTGATATCCTTATGCATCTTAATAATTAGTTAAAATCAGGTTCTCTGGTACATTTGTTGTGAGAAAAAATAAAGAAAATTATTTGATCCAACAATGAATTTGTCACAAAGTTGATCAAAACTAAATTTCCACGACCAATGCAGTAGATATAATTTAGATTATAAGTTATAACAACAGTGCAACACAAATGTTATCTAGTTTGTTACAGTTCTTTGTATTAAATTACCTACATTTAATAACTTATAACTATAGTTAAATTCATATTGAATTCATTGAGGAACATACACATTTATAAGTTCTTGCTAACTTTTTTTAAACATATATAATAGGTTATAAAATCTGATTTATTCATCGTTATCAGCATCTAACAAGATTTACTAATCTACACATATTATAGTAGGTGTTCAGTATTCTCATTCTGATTGTGAAATTTGTATTTATTTTTTAATTGCTTTATACATTTTATTACTTTATGCAGACATACCACATTGCATCATCGTCTATGTTCGTCAATAAAATACGTACAGTCATTTAAAAACCTATAATTCAACTAACAAACTATATCGCTCGTACGTTTTGATTACGTGGTATTAAATATGCTAGTTATTAATAAATATAATATTAACATTTAAAATTTGTTGTATACCTTGAACTTGTTACTAACTTTGCTTAGATTATTATTATTATTATTATCATTATTATTATTATTATTATTATTATTATTGTTATTATTATCATAAAATCGTATTATGTTGTTCAGACCATGTGAGTCGCATGATTATGCTAATAAATAAAATTAAAATTAATAATTATGTACCTAGTGTTAATTAACAAATAAAACATAAAACATGGCGCAGTCTTTGGAGTTATATATTAAATAACCAACGTCCTACGTGATAATTGTTTAATTGCCTGGATTCAAATCGATAAAAAATCAAAATGGAATTCAACAGACCGGCGAACCTTAAACTGATTGGTAATATAAGTGACAATTTTAAAACATTCAAGCAAGAAGTAGAAGTTTATTTCATGGCTACTGAAACAAATCAAAAACCAAAAGAAGTTCAGGTGGCACGTCTACTGAACCTTTTAGGACCAGATGGTTTGAAATTGTTTAACACGTTTAAAATTGAAGATACATCTGTTGAAACAATTTTCAAATGTTTGGAAGAATATTGTGTACCCAAAAAGAATGTGGTAATGGAGCATTATAAATACTTTACCAGAAAACAAAATGAAAATGAATCATTTGACAAATTCTATGCTGACTTACGCGAACTTATTAAGTCATGTGCATTTGGAGAAGCTGAAGAAACTCTGTTGTGCTCACAAATAGTACTTGGTATACATGATAAGGACCTGCAGACAAGATTACTCAGAGAAGATTTGCCCTTGTCTAAAATCATCAAGTATTGTCAAGC